AAAAATTGGTATTATATGATGTTAAAGTGAGTTGATTTAGCAGAAATCTATAATTATAGTATTTATCTATCTATATGTATATGTGTATATAACATCAGGGCTCCAAAATATATAAAGCAAATATTGATAAAAGTGAAGCAAGATATACATAGCAACATAATGATTGTAGACATCAAGACCCAGTTTGCAATAATAGAAAATTCAGATAAAAAATAACAACCAGAAAACTTAGACAACATTATAGACTATATTGATTATTTTGCATATAGAGAAATACTTAAGAGTGCATAATTTATAAAAAAAAAAAAATAGTTTATTTGGCTCACAGCTTGGCAGAGTATATAAGTGTGTGCCAGCATCTGCTTCTGGTGAGGATTTCAGAAAGCTTAAAATGAAGGTAGAAGGTAAAGAGTAACTGGACATATTATGTGGTAAGAGACAGCGCAAGTGTGAGGTGAAGGAGCCACGTTATTTTAATGAACCAGCTCTTATTTGAATTCATAGAGTGTAAACTTTTTGGTTACGGAGAGGATGTACCAAGCCATTCATGAGAAATTTGCCCCCGTGACCTAAACATGTCCCACCAGGTCCCACAGCCAACACTGAGGATTTATATTGCAACATGAGGTTTGGACAACATGGACATCCAAACCATATTATAGACCAACTAGGCTTCACAGACACACACAAAACTCTCCAGTCAAAACCAAGATAATACACAATATTCTTATTTGCATCTGGCATATTCTGTTAGGACATACAACAAGTTTTATTTAATTTAAAAATACTGGCTGGGTGCCAAGGCTCTTGCCCATATTCCTAACACTTTGGGAGATCCATTGGTGTCAAAAGTTTGAGATCAGCCTGGGCAACATAGTGAGACCCTAACACTACAAACAAGCAAACAATTAGCCAGACATGGTAGTGCATGTCTACAGTCCTACCTACTCAAAAAACTGAGGTGAAAGAATAATCACTTGAGCCCAGGAGGCTGAGGCTACAGTAAGCTAAAATTCTGCCACTGCACTGCAGCCTGGGTGACGGTAAGATCTTGTCTCAAACCAACAACAAATCAATTTAAAAACACCAAAATTATGCACTGGGTGTTTACTAATAAAACCTGAATAAAACTAGGAATTAAAAGCAAAAGTCAAACTGGCAAATTCAACAATACGTGAATATGAAACATACCCTCTTCAACATATTCTTGCTCAGGGGGCAAAAAAATCATTTTTCAAAGATATCAATACAACCTTCAGTTATAAGCTACAGTAACATAAACAATATGATACTGACACAAAGATAAACAGATGAAAGAACAGAGAGCTCAGAAATTAACCATTTTGTATATGATCAAATGATTTTCCACAAAGTTGCCATGTTTACAAAATAGAGAAAAATAATCCCTTCAAAAAACGAGGTCAAAAACTGATTATCAACACTGATAAAGTTGGGCTTATTTTCCTGAATGATACAAAAACATATTTTAAATAAACTACTTAGACATAAAAATACATAAATGGAAAAAAGTATTTATAAATCTATATCCAAAATATGTAACACAGGCCAGGTGCAGTTTCTTAAGCCTGTCATCCTAGCACTTTGGGAGGGTAAGGTGGGCAGATACATGAGGTCAGAAGTTTGAGACCAGCCTGGCCAACATGTAAAACACCATCTCTACTAAAAATACAAAAATTAACTTGGCGATGTGTTATGCACTTGTAATCCCAGCTACTTGGGAGGCTGAGGTAGGAGAACTGCTTAAACCAGAAGGCAGAGGTTGCAGAGAGCGGAGATTGCACCACTGCACTTTAGCCTGGGCAGCAAAGCAAACCCATGTTTACTGTAACCAGTATTCACAAAAGCCAACAGGCTGAAGCACCCTAGATATCTCTTGATTTATAAACATATTAAAAAATGTAACATATACATACAATGGAATATTATTCCACCTTAAAGAGAATAATCTTGTCAACTTTTTGATGAACTTTGTGAATATTATGTCACCTGAATTAATCCAGTAACAAAATTATGGATAC